AAGGGTTTGAAGAGAACCTCTTACAAGACAAGTGCTCAGTGCATGTCGGTAGTTATTATCGTCTTCATGTCCTTGGAGATGGATGACTTGACATATTTTACAAATATCAATCTGACCGTGGAAGGTTAAGTAACTTGCCCTGTTGCAGCTAGGGATTACAATACAGGCTGGAATCCAAAGATCACACTCCTATTCCATGTAGTTCCTTCGCTTCCTTAACCAGGTGTGGCTCTAGACCTCTGAGGCCCAGAATTGTACCAGCCTTCCCCAAACTGGAGCCTTAGGCCCCCCTTCTGTCACACTGTGTACCTAGTGATGGTCCCATAGCACCTTGCTCTCTGAGAGCAGACAGTGTAGTTTGTTTCTGTTAGGTTGAATCGTATGAAACTGCCACTCTTTGGCCTTTTTAGACTTACAGAAAAAGCAGTTTCAAAAACCCAAATGAATCATGAGTGATCTGGCTTTGTTTACTGTAAGAATCATTACTTTCAGACCGACCCCATTTTCCCGCTAGAGGATTTAGACAAAGAGAGAGAAAACAGTCCAAGCACCTTGACAATTGCTTTCCTTCCAGAAAACCAGACCCAGTGACTCAATTCAATTTGAATGACTGTCAAGCCCCATCTCATTTTTGTTTCTTGGCAGTCCCAAAAGAATAGCTGTGTTGTCTGTAGTGAGTCTATTAAATGCATGATTCTGCTCTCATCTCCATCCTGTCTTACAGTCCTGACACGTAGTATCCAGACCCAAACAGACAGCGTCAGCAATTCCAATTATTCTCTCTCTCTCTCTTTCTCTTCCTCTTCCTCTACTCCTCCTTGTCCTCTCCCTCTCCTCTCCCTCCCTCTCCTTCTCTCTCCACCCTTTCCTCCCTCCTAAAATCTCCCAAGGTTAACCTGAACGGCCCAGTTTCCAGAGAGATCTCAGATGATGGTGAGGGAAAATGAAAATACTGGCCTGCAGAGGAAACTTTCCACATGTGAACCACAAGTTCCTATATTCTGGTTTGGTCATAGTTGGCAGACATTCCCCTGGGGATACTCTGCTTTTCAAGGTTTTCAGGAAGAGAGATACACACAGAGTAGCCGTGACTGACCACTTGGTTGAACGTCCTGGGAATTTTCCCAGTATGCTTTGTGGCAGAGAAACCTGGTATCAAAGAAACCTGATACTGTAGTTTAATCCAAATTGGCATCATGATATTCAACAGATCTTCTTTAATCCTTGCCATCTCACTACACTTAGAAGTAGATCTTCATAAACTTTTACGTCTTTTGTAGCAATGGAGAAGTGTTCCTCTCTGAAAGATGTGGCCATCATCTATCCCCACTTTAAATCCTATCCTCTTAAATGTACTTTGAGACATAGGTCTGTGAATGACTCCTTTTTCTCAAAATCTTTAGTTTTTCCTTGTCTACTAGTTCTTTGTCCTTAGGATTTAGACAGCTTCAGGAATCCCACCTCTTAAAATAAATGCAAACAAACTATTCTGTCTTCTGCCTCAGTCCATCAACGGTTCCTCCTCATCTGCTCTGTCAGTCTTCTTGAATAAGGTGATTATAGATAATGGCCACTTCTGTACTTCACAATTTTAAGCTTAATGAGCTACCTCTGTATAGAAACTACCACTGGCAGGTGAATGGTGGCCTATTTGTTGTTAAAACAAAAGCCCCTTCTTTCCTTGGCTTCTAGGCAGTACTTGGAAGTGTCTATCACAACCTTATTTTTAAACCATACTTCTTTTCACTTATGAAATGCCAGACTTAGTTCTTTTTTTACCTCTGTGGGCCTTTGCTTCTCTGTTGGTTACCCTCAGTGCTGTAGTCTAAACTGCCTGCTTTTTTCATTCTACATGCATTCCCAGGGTGAACCAAGCCCTCTGCGGCATCCATGACCACCTTTATGTGATGATTCCTAATTTACCATCTCCATCTCAGATGTGTCTTTGACCATCAGTCAGTATTCCTCCTCATCTGTGGGATATCTCCCCTCACCTAGGTCACTTACATTTAATACATTCAAACCAAAATCTGAAAATTTCCCACAGCACTCACTGTCCACTGGTTGCCCCAACCAGAGATCTGAGAAACACTCCTATTACTTTTGTGTACCCTTGAACCAATTGTGCTTAAAGTCTGAAAATTCCATCTCCAAAGACACATCTTGCTGATGTCATCACCTTGGGAATTAGATTTCAGTGTGTGGCTTTTGGGGAAAAAAGAAATATTCAAACCACAACAATAAGTCATCCAGGTCATGGTTTTATCTGTGATTGAGCTAGAGTCCAAATCAGGCATGTCTGGCCCTGAAGTGCTTTGCAGCATGTGGTATATAGTGGACATTAGATCCACACTGCCTGTATTGAAGTTTATCAGTATGAGTTTACCAGGATGTGGGACTTTGGAAAGCCACTTAATCTCCTTAGGCGTCAGTTTTATCTGTGTATTAAACATGAATAATGATACCCTCTTGTAGAGTTTAGGTAGGAATTAAGATAATAACTAAACTACAGTCCTACAGAGAGTAAGTATGAACTAAATATTAGCTATAACTGTCACCATCACCGTCACCACCATTCCTTTTAGGACTTCTATTTGCCAATAAAGGGAGAGTCTACCAGGCCATGGGATCAGTGGGTATTCAGTGTTGCTTTGAAAATTTCAGCATGCTTTGGGATCTAACAGTTGGTTAAGGATATTCAATAAACTCTAAGAGATTAAAAATACAGGTTAAGTATCTGACATTGGAAATGCTTGGGACCAGAAATACCTCAGATTTCACTTTTTTTTTTTTTTTTCAGATTTTAGAATATTTGCTTTATACACAATGAGACATCCTGGGGATATAACCCCAGTTGAAACATGAAATTCGCTTCTCTTTCATGTACATCTTATTGATGTAGCCTAGTTTTGAATTGTATGTTGAGTATATTTGCATTTTGCCTCCAACTTGTCATACAAGGGTTAGGTGTGGAATTGGCCACTTGCAATATCGTCTTGACACACAGAATTTTTGGATTTGGGGGGCATTTCAGATTTTTCAATTAGGTTCAACCTATGTAATCAAATAACTCCAGAGCAGACCACAACTGTATGGTACACTTGATCTTAGCCAAAAGACTGAGAAGCAATAATACAACTATATGATTGACATTTGTTATGCACATGATAGACATTATTTAACACAACCAGTCAGTCAGGAGTGATGTCATATAAAGTGCCCTGTAAGTAGTGCTAATGTTTTCAGTGGAAAATGATAGCTTAAACAGGCATGTGTGAAAATTCTATCTGGCAGCTGCCAGAAATATATTGGAATTGACTTGATGTGATTTTTAGTAATATTAGAAGTACACATCATATATTATAGTTTTACAGTTGTTAGCTAACTGTAAATGCTTGACACTTGGTTAATTTTCATAACAACTCATCCATTAGACAATTGTGTAATTTCAGTTTTATAAATGACACAAAGCTCCAACAGATAAGGACAAATCTAGCATTTGAATGCAAGTCAGGCTGCCTCTAGAGTCAATGCCTTTTGTTTTTCTTTTTTTTTTTTAATTTATTTTTAGCTGGTATTTAAACATAAAATTATACATATTAATGGGGTATCATATAATGATCTTATCATAGCAGTCTACTTCCAGTGCTTGATTTTGTGAATGAGTTCAAGGCCCCATCTTCATTCATGTCCACATTTTGTTGCCCTGAAGAAAATTGTCCAGGGCAGAAAAGGGGCCAGCGGATTCTTATGACAGAGACACATCTCCAAGAGTTTGATTCAGTTCTGATCCTCTCCACCATGGGCAGCATCTTCCTGACTGAAATCAGAAGGCAAATGACTTATATGTTGCAAATAACTGGCCTCACAACTTTACTACTATTTTCTGATGAGAAAGAGGTTTGATCACAAGTAGAATCCATAGTAGGCCTTTGTTCTAAGAAACAAGTTAAGACTTTTCACTTTGCCTGGAACCAATTATTGCCCTTAAAATCTTCAGTTGAAGTCTACATGTCCTGGACTAAAAATATCTTGGCATCATCTTTCCTAACCTTTTTTTTTTTTTAATATTTACTTAGTGCTTTTTCCAGCATTCTTTTCCTTAAACTCTGCGTAACTAGTACACATGGACAAAGGATGCTTCTTACTAATTTTTCTTGAATTTATGGATAGGATGCTGTTTATTCTTAGGAAATTAATTAGCTTTGCTGGTACAGATTTTCTAAGAGGAAGAGTTATCAATCATCATATTTTTTCAATTTAAAACTTCAAGGTTGGAGAAAAGGTATTTTTAATACCTTCTAGTTACAGAAACATTATGGAAGATTAACTTTTTTTTTTTAGTTGAGTAGAAAAAACAGAATATGGCATTTTTGGTTTTTATTTTTGTTCTGGGGGAAGGAAACATAGTCACAACACATATTGGTCACTGAGAAAATTGTGTCTGTGTTTCTTGTCCAACATGTGTCTTTAAGGGTGGAGGGTGGAGAGAGACAGTGGAGTTACTTTACATATACATGAAAAGATGGATTTTCTACTGTGAGAGACTTCACAGTTCATTTGTTCTTTCCAGTAGAAATAATAAGTAATATAAACAGAGATCATATGGAGAATTCAACGAACAGCTTAAACCAAGAAAAATTGTTGGGTACAACTAGGTGTGTTTGGAGGCCAGCTATTAATTTGGAAATTTGAACGTGATACTTGCCTATAATTTTTTCCTTCTTTCTCTTTTCACTTTTTCTTTGCTATTGCTTCATAGTTATTATTTTTCAATCCTCATGCTAAGCATTATTATTTTGTTTAATTTCCATACAAGTCTATGAAAGAAGTATCAATATTCTCTCTAATTGACAATTGAGGAAATCAAGGCTCATAAAGATGAAGTAACTTGTCCCAATACCAGAATTTAACCATAAATATCTTGTTCTAGACCCTGGTCTCTCAACTACCATGTTATACTGCTTCCTTACCACACCTTTTCTGTTCTTTATCACCAGGGACAGAATGAGAACGTCAGTCAATGTCGTGGGTGACTCTTTTGGGGCTGGGATTGTCTATCACCTCTCCAAATCTGAGCTGGATACCATTGACTCCCAACACCGAGTGCACGAAGACATTGAAATGACCAAGACGCAATCCATTTATGATGACATGAAGAACCATAGGGAAAGCAACTCTAATCAGTGTGTCTATGCTGCACACAATTCTGTCATAGTAGATGAGTGCAAGGTACCTTTCCCATTCCTGGATATTGAGACTTGTATATAGTAGTGCATGCTCCATGCTTAGAAGATAAACATAAAGCCCTGCATCCGTTATCATCACTTATTTTTTAAAAGAATCGCATAACCTCCAGCTTCTGTGAGTCCCAGATCATCTAGCTTTGTGTCTAAAATGGTGGAAGATCAGCATCCTAACACTGAAAACCAACCAGTTGCTTACTTTATCAGTGTGATGTATAACACTAGTTTGGTTGGTTTTCTTGATTATTTTACCCTTGAATTTGTGGTTGTTTTACTGGTTTTCACATATTCTGTTCCTCAAATGAAATAGCCAGAATTTTATTTTTATAACTTGAATATTCCTCCTGGCTACCTATCATATTAACCAAAAACATATTTGGTGAACTATCTTTCTCTTAATTGTCTTTGTGGGAAGGGTAAGTTTTAATGTGGCTGTTACTTTCCCCCTAAAATGGGGAAGCAATTTCAAAAATAACTGTCTTTCAGAACAATTATCCAGACAAGTCTTTTAAAAAAAATATTGTTCTCTCTTACTGCCTGGCAGCACCATCTTTTCTGAAGCATAGATGTTCTGGGTTCTCCTTCAAGCTGTTGGGTGCCAAGTCCAGCTGTGGGGGCCTGTCTAGCCTTCTTGTAACTAACTTGAGATTGTTAAAAGACTGAGTCTCTTGACCAGAGTGAAGCAATCTTGGAGAAACCCTGGCAGGTGAAAGAGTCACCCTTTCTCACCGTCGGTGTTATTTTGCTAAAATGATTCTGTACAGCAATCGAGGACAATCTGAACCCAAGACTGATCTCAGGTACCTTTCTGACTCCTGTTGATGAGATCAAAATTAACCTTTAGTTTCTTTCTGTGCTACCTCTGGATCTTCCCAAGCATACACCATGGTATCTGCCAGACAACAAAGAGTGACACAGAAGCAATTCTGTTTATTGGACTCTATCACAAGTCCAAAATTCTGATGAACAGAATCTTATGCTTGTCTCCTTTACATTAGGGGCAACCTTAATTAGAGAGGGAACCTGCTCCTCAAGAAGCAATTGCATAAATTAATTCATTGACTCAGCAAACATGATCTACATTTTTAAAAAGTCAAATGTACCTAAATGGCTTCATCCATTCTCTTGAAAAGTTAGTATTTTTTCAGATCTGAATTAACATGCTAGATTACTCACATAGAATGGCTTTATTTTAAATACTATTATATTTAACAAGTACTTGTTGTGTGCCTTGTAAGATTTAGTTGAGTATCTCCACTTCATTCTGGTGACATCCCATATTTTAATAGTTCACAAAATATTCATGGAATCCCTATTATCTAAAAAGCCCTGTATTAGGCACTGGAGGACAGTCAAAATGCTTCCAACTCTAAAGGAAGATGTTTGTGAATTACTCCTATCACTAGGAAGTAAGTTCATAGGGAGTGGACATTTTCCTAGCACCTAAAAATGTGTCTGGTGTATTGTAGGAGGTGCTTGATAAGAATGTAGCTTTTTAGTGTCAAGAATCCGTGCTAGAAAACCTTTTTTGGTTTAGAAATCTTTTTTACCGGGCAGTTCCATAAAGATAATTACTCACTCTTTCTATAAAATTAACTGCCCACCTGAAGGTACATTGCTTAACTAGCATTTAGATGGTCAGTGACCAAACTGAACAGAAAATGAAGACGATGAACATGGGCTGATTGGTTTAATAATTATTAAAGAGTTTGGGTTCAACTCAGTTAAGGTGAGTTGCCTCTCAGGCTTTGCTAGGTGAGACAGCTTTACTCTTCTCATTTTAGATCAACTAAATATGTTGACACTGACAGGGAGGAGGTATCTAGAGCTACTGGAATGAACGTACACTGTTTTTCACAATATTGGGGTGACATTCATTCCTCTGAACTTTCTTCCAGTCAGTTGCTGTGCCTCCCCCTACCTTTTTTTTTTTTTTTTTTTTGGTCTCACCATGTAGTTCAGGCTGGCCTTGAACTCACTATGTAGCCCAGACTAGCTTTGAACTTGCAGTGATCCTCCTGCCTCAGCCTCCCGGATGCTAGGATTACAGACTTACACCACCACACCCGCTGCTTCTCCATTTTTTAAACCATCGAAGATGTCAATGCTTCCTGCCAGTATCCTGCCCTTTCACTTTCCTATCATCTGAGTGGTTAGATGAGAGAGAAGCGGAATAGATTGGGTAGAGGAGTCCTAACTCCATTCAGCTAGGAAAGGAAATGCCAGAAAAGTAACTGTCCTAGCTACTTTTGAAACACAGGCCACAGTTTTTACGAACAAAAAACACAAAGTACTTCCCCCAAGTAGTCTGCTTCTTCCAAAGGCACAGATCTGTGATTGATAAATTTGCACTGCACTGCCATTGATCTGGTTCGTCACAGAGAGTCAAATAAGCACATTCACGGTCACAACAAACAGGCAGCTCTCTCCAGACAGACAGTCTGTCCCTGGCAGTCTCCTTTTAGAGCTCACTGAAAAAACAAACAAAACAAAACAAACTTGCTGCAGCTCTGGTCAAAATTTTAACCACTTCAGGGATCATGTCGTATTTGTCTCTATTTTCAAACCCTTGCCTGGTAATATTAGTTTTAAGTTGTGCAATGTCTTTTTAATTTTAGACAGAATAACTGCATGTGAGAAGTTGTTGCTAACTGCATGGACTTTCTAGAAAATGGGGAAAGTGCGAATTGGAAGAATGAACAGTTTTTATTTTTATTTGCTTGGTTTGCGAAGGGCATTTGGTTCTCTGCTCCTAGCATGTTATGTGCTCATGATGCATGTGTTTCACTTCCACTTCCGGGTGAGAAGAAAGTCAAATTTCTTTCAAACATTACTGCATTTGTCATGTCTCTGTATTCTAATGCTTCCATAAATCCAGTCTCTCCATTATGTGGAATATCAGTCGTGGGTTTAAGTATGCACATGACGTTGAGGACAGACAGACAGAAGGTAAGCTAGGAAAACTACTTAGAAGTGGAGGGGAGAACCTTCCATCCTGCATTAAGGTTCAGTTCACTTTGAGCCAGGGGAATATGTGGAAATAATTCATTCATTGTATTTGATTAGTAAACTGCCCGCACTGAAATAATTTGGATTACATCATCACTGATGTTAAGCTCTTAATCGTTCCCCCTCTTTTTCTTTTAAATTTTTAAAACCAAGATTGGTTATTTGATATAGTTAAAAACCATCAGGATTGCTGATTTTTAAACTGAAATATGTATGAACTCCTGCTGGCTTCAATGCAAGTGGACCTTTTACATGCATGAGTAGAACTAGCTACCTAATTCTGGATTTCTGTTTTCTCTGTGGTTGTATGGAGTAGCACATTTCAGTCACTGTATTTGAAGGACTATGTCACTGAGCAGTGAGTCCTGTGAGTAGTCAGACACGCCCCTACCCTAAAGCTATAGCAGAAGTTCCCTCCCTTCTGCAATGCCTCAGTACCCACAAGACACATATCAACACTTAATCACAAATCCCTGTTGATCACCAGGACAGAGTCAAAATCAATTTGCAATAATCTTCTTTCAAATCATATTTCAGTCACATACTCTAATTCTGGATCTGGTGCTTCTCCAAATAGCCATGGGTTTTTTTCCTGGTTCATGGCCTGTAAGCTGGATGTTGACGATTATTATTTTCAGGTAACTCTGGCAGCCAACGGAAAGTCAGCTGACTGCAATGTTGAGGAAGAGCCTTGGAAACGAGAAAAATAAGACTATGACCCTCAGCACATTCTTGAATAAATTCCCCAGCGTATCTTATGGTAAAAGATGATTATAAACAAGCTTTCTTTTAAAAAAGGAAAAAAAAAACCCGCATCTATTTCTATGTTTACTTAATCTGTTAGCTGAGGCTTAGAGGAGCTCTGGTGAGTCCGTGACGCCAGGCACGGTGCTGTGTCTTTGCCAAGTAACGCTTCATAACTGGCTAATTTTCTCACTCGTATTACTGTTTGAATGGATGTGCTGGAGGAATCCCTTTGAATTGAAGACACAGTCTGGCCAGCTTCCCTTCTGTCTCAGTGCAGAGCTGTGGATGCTCTTTTCCCAAGGGACAGTGACAAAAGCAGTGTGGTACACTCCGGGGGCTTGGGACAATGAGCATACACACAGCGTGTTATTCCTCAAAGTGTTCCTATCTCACCTTGTTACACACTATAACATAACCTGCTAGAAGCCCCTAGAAGTAACTCCCTTTCGGTGTCATTTAGAGTTGGCACACGAGCTGATTAAAAGTGAGTGTCTGTGTTACGGAATTCAATCATCTTACCTTTCGTGTGCTCTTTGAGTTGAATGTTTCAAAGAGAGTTTTAGTGGGGGGCCATGCTTTTCAGGCAGCTGATTGTGGAGCCCACTGCCTCTCTGCCCCATCCTATATCTAAAGTTTATGTGAATAGTGCTTAAAATTTCAAAATATGTGTCATAATTCTCTAAATTGGATACTGGGTGAGGAAGTATTTTACAACCACTATATATATATATATATATATATATATATATATATATATATATATAATAAACCAAGTGCAGATGACATAAATTTTAACCAGATTTAACTACCCAAATTCATTTGCATTTTATTTGTATTCATTTGGTACACTGAAACCAAATGAGGTTATGTGACCTATGAGATTCTCATTTGGGTTTTTCCCAGAAAAAGGATTCTTTAGATCTCTGAATCATTTCCATCATATTCTCATCCGCCTCATTGGCCTGATCTTTTGTCCTCCACACTTGGATGACACTTGTGTTAGCTGTGCCTCCTTCCATGCCATCCCTTGAAAAAACAAGCTTGTGTCTAATGAATATGGAGAAGGCCTTTTGTTCTATAGAAGCATATAAAACTAGTTACAGGACTGGAAACAAAACCCGTCTTCCTCCTCAGTTGGAAGGGAACAGAAAACAAACATACAAAATCCTATAAAGGTGATGTCCTTTTGGCATAGTCCAACCAGTCTTGGTCCATGAAGTGAGAACAAAGGGGATAAATAACTTCCCAGATGAAGCTTTTTAAGGCTATGAAAGTTTGAAGGAATAAATAATCTAATTGGCACAGCATAGGGCCTTGCCTGTGGAACACAGCCAGCAAATCCTTAATGACTGGTTATGCAAGCTCAAGTTTTGAATGTCTCTACTATTATTTTCTGTCAAACAACCCACAGTATTTTCCTAAGGTTGCTGGGTTGGGGATTTAGCTGGGCATTTGAGTCATGGAGAGATAAAGCACAATCAAGTCTAAGGAGTAGGTAGAACCTTAGTCCCCATGTTTAAATCTGTCTGGTGTCTCCCATGAAGCCAGCAGAGGGATGCAGAAGTATTCATAAATATGTATAGAATCCAAATTCTCTTAGAGTAGGGAGTGTTTGGCCATCACCTACCCTTTATTACCTAATCCTTAGGACTTCTGTCTTCCAACCCAAACAGTTTTGAAACATACAAAATATGCAAATTAAGTTGTTTTTTGGTCTCTTAAATCCTACTTATTTCTGGATATGGATCACTACTTAGCAGTATTAAGCAGATTTTTTTAAATGGCATTGGTCTTTGTTTTTATAAGATGGACAGTTAATAGAATGGGTAAGGCCACACTAAAATGTAGCAGGGGGGAATAAATCCTTTATAGTGTCATGTGGGCCAAAGGGATGGTTCTTGTCTTTAGCTGTGAAACCCAGATTTTCTTTAAATAGTACTTCAAGAGCTTTTTATGGTGAGCACAAAGCTCTAGGCAAATCATCTAGGAGCTGCTTGCTTTTTTTGCTGTAGAAAGCCAACTTGACATTGTACACACCAGCATGTTTTGCAAAAGAGTGATCATGGGATCATCTTTGTCTCTGCTTGAAAACATTTCTGGTTTATTTTGTCTTCATCTTTTTCTTAGCTATGCTATTAGCCTGTGACTAAGTAAGGGGACAGTGTGTTCAAGAGAAAGAGAATTCACAGCTTCACAGAGCAGGCTTTTCTGACTTGAGGCTGTATACAATGTCTGATGAGAATACACTTAGGAAACCAATTTATCTGGAAATTCAATAAATTATATTAAAATGAAATAGTATATCAAATTCAAGAATAGCCTGACTATCTACACTGCATGTGGAGCTGACATATGAGTATGTCTTCTAGCGTTTTAGACCTCTTTTATTCTTCCCATGCCATGCCCATTGGGGATTCTTTTGTCCAGAATATGTGCCATAAACAAAACAAATGGACCCAGAGTATACCTCTAATAGCCTTGACCTAAATGGATAACCTGTCAGTTATATGTAGAGATTTATACTAATGGGCTCATCACAGATACAAACGCTTATAATAGTCCATTAATATTTGATGATATATAAATGTTTGTATATCTATGTATAGAAACAACAGGTCAGGTATATACACTGCATCTGGTAAGGTTTATAAATTGGCATTTTGTCAGTACCATTTTGTCATAGGTTTATTTACTTTTTTAGGAATTAGAAATATGTTATTTGTAAAAGTATCTAGTCAAGAAGCATTTCAGGACAAAATCAACTCAGTAGAGATTCATTCTTCCCTTTCTTATCCTTGCCCTCGGGAAACCCAAGTAAACTCATCATTTAATTATTCACTAAAATTAAACAAATCCAATCCAACCAGGGAGAAGATAGCTTATCTTTCAAAATAATGTCTTCCTTAGATGTTTGAGGATATGTTCCCCATTATATGGCCCAAAAAGAAGTATATCAGAGAATCCAGGCAACTATCTTATTTATGTAAACAGATCGTCAGTAAAGGACTTTAAGTGACTTGAGGACCTTAGGTAGCTATCAGATTCTTTTTCTCTTTTCCATCTCATTGAGTATTGAAACCCAGCCTGTTGTCTCATTGCTTGTTGAAGTTACTATACCTGCAAAAGACAAATATTTGTTTCTCCTCTCCCACCAGTAATTCCTCTGGATGTGCACTAAAGCTTAAGGAAAGGGTGCCAAATGCCTAGTTCCTGGGTTTAGATTTGTGGAAGCTGAGAAAGGATTGAGAGAAATTTAGTTCATGGAAAGATTTCTGCTAGCTGATGCCAGAAGTCCCAATGATCAATTGATTAGACCTCAGGTCATTTCTACTTGTGCAAGATGAAATATATTATTTGTAAAAGTATCTAGTCAAGAAATCTTTCAGAGGTGAGTGGCTGAGAAACTTATCTTTTGCCCTCCCAAAAGGAAAACCAATCCCACCTGCCATGTTTCTCCAAATACCACACTTCCTTTTTCTTTTAATAGCAAAAATATATTATAATTGTTTTGCTTCTGTTAGAATCAAGACTTCTGCCAATGCAATATCTTTCCATGAAGTACAGCAATAAACCCAAGTAGGTATGCACATGGCTCTAACCCTTGAAAAACAAGTCTCAGCAGCTCTTGCCTGGTTTGTTGACTAAAAGTGTGCAGCAGTTACACCCCAGGAGAGGTGGTTCCCCCCACTTAGCTATCTCTAATTCTCAGGGCCTTCAGTTGTCTACGTCGCTGGTATTGCTTTGCATATTCTCCAGGTGAACTCATTCCAAGTCAAGAAAGGGGACTGGCTGAGATTTTGTGTTATAATCATACTTACTCTTTGAATAAGGACATTGGGATCTGTGGGAAAAGAAGATTAAGTTAAAGCAGAGTCTGAAGTAAGTGTTAAATAAAACTAGTTGTTAGAGAAGGTGGATGTATCTGTTGTAATTTCAAATTAAACCCAGTAGAAGTTACCAACCAGACAGGTGACACATGTGGCAGATTGTTCTCCTTGGAGGGAGGGAGTTCAGAGATGCTCATAAACACTAGTTTTGATGATTCTAAAATAAAATTTTACTTTCCATTCCTCCTTTTTTTTATTCCCATTGCTTAAGAGACACTATAGTAAATGACCAGGTAGGTTAGTCTGAGGATTCATTTTACAACAGATAATAACCTGAATTGGATCCTATCTAATATGGCATAACATAATTCATGCAGTCAATGACACAGAGATGATGAGAAACAGCATGGTTTGGTAGAAGAAATGTTTGGCATAGGCTCTGCACAGTTTTAACTGTACGATTTACACAACCCACTTTATGTACAAAGCTTTATTTTCTGCTATTTGAAAGGTGAAAGGGTTGAATTAAATGATTAAAAATCCCTTTATAGCAATACACATCCCTGATATTACAATTTCTATTTTTTTAAGAGACTAACATCTCTAAAATACTATTGTTTGTATTTTAAATCAGCATGTTACAGTCTAACAAATAATTTATTTAGATTTTTCTCTTTCCCCTTTTTAAACCTGTATTTATTTTATGTTTACACCAAGCTTGGCAATGGTCATGTTAATCTATCATTTGAGACACCAGTGAAGATCCTTTTATGAAAGTTCTCTTTACCTGAACTCACTGTCCTAGTACAAGTGATTCTGCTCAGGGAAAAATGTTGCCAGAGTCACCGTGAGAGACCAGATGTGTCTACAGTTGTCCTTGATCTCTTGCATCATTCTTGGTGTAGCAACAGAGCCCATTCCAAGTATCCAAACCACATAATTTTATCCAAACCCTCCTAATTGCCAACTCAATATGGGAATCTGGGAGCCTTTGGCAAATCAACTTGAATGCTCATGAAATTTGGTGCAAGACTTACACAATCACAGCAACTGTCTGTAAATACCTTCCCTCCACAGGTATGCAGACATGCACAATCCATGTACAAGTAAACTGGGCTGAGTGCTTTCTCTGGAGGGAAACGCAAGGATATTTGATTGAAATTCATTTGCATATTTTCCACCTGATTTTCTTGTATAATAGGCATTACATTGCAGGTACAGAAGTTCTAACTTACATGGGTGAAGTTTTGCTATCACTGTCCTTTTCAATGCTTGTGGAATTTCTAGTGAGTAGGATAACAAGTGTGGTCCACAGGGTGCCTGATACCAGCCATGACCTTCAAAGAACCTTCTGTACTTTCTGGCATTATTTCAGAGGGCTCCTGCTTGCATTTTTGCCCTGTATCCACCCTTGTACTAAATAGTGTTGGTATTTCCTGTGTAGTAACACCCTTATTGGTAGAGAAGACGTCAGTTCTTCAGGTTTGAGGAGGTAAATCTAGGACTAGATTGAAGATTGAGGTTTTTTATTTGTTGTTATTTTTGTTGTTAATGTTGTTTACTTGGGGTTTTTTCCCATAAGTTTAGAAGACCTGATATAAGAGCAGCAAGATAAACAGTTTCTCAACTGATTCATTGAAGAACCTGTAGGGAAGCGAGACAAGTCCCTAAACTCACATTCCATTTACTCTACTATCCTGAATACTGTTCAGTTTTTTTTTTCCTTCCTATGTCCAGCCTTGCTTCATCTTCCAATTTCTGAGCCAAGTCTCTATTTTAATATTTTAAAAAATCTTTCTGGTTGTTATGCAGGGCTTTTTTGTGCTAAGAATAAAACTTACTACTGGAACAGACCTTACTGCTTTGCACAGTCAGCATTTGACCTTGACAATGGGTCACAGCAGGTCCCCAGTTCCTCTGGGGACACCTCCAATCCCTGGGTGAGTGTTGGAACCTAACAACTGACTGTTACCCTTGTCATCATTCCCAGGGGAGATGGGGATGATGCAGCCAGGGCCTTGCTACTTCTGGGGCTCTGTTTCTTCTCATGGCGACTATTTAGCCAGCCTGGAAACAGTCTGTTGCCTTTGATAGGGGACAAACACACACACTAGCCAAAGAAGTTGGACCAGCACATCTCTGAGGTTTCTTCCCCTGGAGCAAATTCTCTGAGATGTACAAGCAGAAAGTTGGCTCTCTGGTGACTTACGACACTCTGAGAGTACTTTCCTCACGAGGAACTCATCCTTTGGCATCCAGATTCTTCTACAAATCACCTTAACTCCCTCCTTTCCTCCTTCCCCTGAAAAATCTCAGCATTGCATCTCCATTGCACAACACAGATCAGATTATCTGGTCGCTATAGAGATTTGTATATAAAAAAATACTTTTTTGAGAATTTTTTATATCGTTTTTCTATTTGTTTTCTACAGCTTGAGGAGAGAGCTGGCAAACTGTGAATCTAATTTTGTCTTGCTGCCAGCAAATATATTTTGGTTTCCTGGTAAGAGTCCATGCTACCAGGGACAATATATTGTTATCTGATCAGTATTGAAATCCCAAATTACTACAAATTACTTCAGCTCAGTCTTACATTCTTTCTTCAACAAGTCCCCAAGCTCCTTTACCATTATTTATTTTTTAAAAAGCATGAGAATATTTATAGTCCTGGATATTATATGTTTAATATTAATTTAGTCTTTAATAATGTTATAGGTTTATATCTATTCTTCAGAAATCATAAAGAACTCAGTGGAAACTGAATTCATCTATTTAGTACCGTAATTTTGCAGACAGATATTTTCTTATGGTATTTTCTATAGAACCACATATTTAGAATTGTAACTAATAGAGCACAAGAAGTTTCTACAACAACCTACAGCTATCAGTTGTTTTCTGAGCATATCGCACCATTGAAAACCTTTAAGAACCCAGTTCTCAGTGATGCAGTGAGGATCACCATCCAGAACAAAGAATTGCTTCAATCAGGTGATTATTCTAACTTGAGGAATGGTGCTGATTTTTATTTTGGACACCAGGCCTTGTTTTTCCAGCTGAGCATTCTAACTGTTTGTTTTTCTCTGAGATCACCAAAAGCAAAAGTGATAAAAGTAGAATCATCTCTACATCAGAATCTCTCATGCCTTTTTAAATGTTTATGTGAAAATTGGCTTAGAAAAATTTTGAGTTGCAAAGACTAAGAATGAGTGCTGAGAAGGAAATCAGAACAGATTCATTGCAGTTCATTCTTGCTAGGCAAAATGACAATAAATGTCACATTGCTAAATGAATTGATCATATGTTTTTAAATAGAAAATTTGTACTGGTTATGAAGCAATACTGTATCACTGAGGACTGGAGGTAGATGTTAAGAGTCATACTGAAATTGCTTAAGAAGCCCAGGTAGTTTTTGTCCTCAGGTGAATAACAAACTAGGTAACCTTCCCAACAGGTAAGTCAATAGCCACTGAAAAGACGAGGTGTCTTTCCTCCGCCAAACACGTTTTCTGATATGGTGGTAGGATTAGTGTTTTTACCATGTTTTAAACTGTCGTCAGTTATAGAGCGAGTGTACTAGTATGTATTTGAACCTGCTCCTCATTCAGCAAACAGATTAGATTTGCCCTCAAATGGCTAAGATTGTGTCTGTTTTCAAGTACAGCTAGTGTCAAAGCATGAAGTTCTTGTGTGCACACACTGACGCTTGGTCCACGCATGAAGAACAGTGCCTATGCACTTTGTTTAGCTATAATGTAGGTATCTCTGTGTAATTTCAGTGAAACGGTGTGTAGATGTATTGTAATTTAATTTAATGTTACTTTTGGCTGTTCATCTAGATGCAATAGACATTTTGATTGGTGTTTTGGAAACCCCTCTTTTTCTTCTTAAATACCTAGCAGTGAATCACTTCTACTCCTCCATAATGTGATTTGGGGATATATATCAGTAAAGAACTTATCTATGAATTCATTGTACTGATAATTGTTTGAATGTATGTATGTGTCCAGCACCTTTGTAAATATACAGCTCAGAGCAGGGATGGGATGGATGTGTATCCTGGTTCTTAATGAAAGGCATTCGATATCTGTGTAATACTTGGTGAATATAACTGTGGAGCTTTTGATGATCTAGGCTTAGGTAGACATAGAATGAAGATATTCATCTCAAGTCCTTTGCTTGTTGGGTGGAGCTCAGAGACCCAAACACTGGCCTTCTCTTGTGCGTGTTAGCATCATGTCTTTGGGGAAGGATCAGCCTCTTTGGTTGCCAGATATTTATTGTGATGCTGAAAGTCCTCAAAAGCCTTGTCCCATTTGGCTTCTTGAGTCAGAATGTGAGAATATTTACTGACTAGCTGCCATTCAGGTTAAACTCCACAGAAGCACAGTTCTGGCAGAAAATGGCACAGTAGCCATAGAAAGATTGAGCACTAGAAGCACAGGATCAGTCGGTGTACAATATTGGAGGTTGCAACAGGCAACTGCTGAAGCACAGATCCCATATATGTGAAGGGAGTGTGACCTTCTCTACCCACGAGCGTGTGTGTGTCTGGAAGTGACTGAAGATGAGATTAACAAATGCAATTATACGCTTGCCTCCAAAAACACATTCCCTCTAATTAACACTAAATGCAATGTCTAGAGCTCCACGAGGACAGAGAAGAAATAACAATGTGCCATAGGAAGCACTGAGTGCCCATCTGTTTTTCTCAAGGAGTTGAAGCCCAAGACCATGAAGGCAAAGCCCATTAATTTGCAATGGCTTCTTCAGAGTGGATTGAGGGGATATGGTGGATGGGCACTTTTTTGGGGGGGGGAAATGTGTTTTCTTCAAATGCAAGATGAAAAACTTATTGAAAGAAAACTAGCCTTTAGGCAGTATTGTCCTTGAAGAGTCTTATATATCCAGAAAGAAAGATGAGAATAATTGTTTCCTTCATGTTCACAATTCCCAGTGATCTAAAGCCGTGTGGTGTAGAGCATCTATAGTACATTGTATTTAAAGACTAATTAATGCAAAAGATAAAAAGTTCAACTAATTTTGGGATTGTTTCTTATAAATGGCACTAGGAAATACCTTGCTGGCAAAGCACATTTTGGGTAGATGAGGTCTTTCATGTTCACCTTTAGGTTTCTATGCTTTCTTTCAATGTGGACTGATTTCTGTAACATTTCTTGTGTAAAATTACTGAATATTCTTTATATGGTGGAAGTAACCTGTGAGTTCAAAATTTCACTAAGTGTTTTAACCTTTGTGTATATAGTTCTCATCAATAAATGTGGATTTCAGTTTCTCTTAGTTGTTGCCTTTTTTCCAATTCCCATTTTAGTCTTTTGTTGCTACTAAGTAAGGGTCTCTAGTGTTCTTTATGAAAAATATTTATGGATTGAAGGGTATAGATCTAAATCAATATTTTCAAGGAAACATTGATATATAGTAGATTCCTATATAATAGTACTCAAGAGGTTTAGTTTGGTGCATGGTTTTAAAGGTGGAAATGTCTCAGTTCAGGGGCCACATCCAACAAGGCCCTTGTACTTCATCATGTGGCAGATGGCATCACAGGTAAGAAATGCATAGAAGAGCAGCCAGTGGCAGTGCAGAAAGGACCAGACACGTGGGGGTCTTGCTTTATAACAACCCATTCTCATGGTAACTACCCAAGTTGTGAGAGACCTAATCTACTCCTTGGAGGTAAGCATTAGTCTCTTCTGAAGGTGATTTCCCCAATGACATAATTACTTCCCACTAGGTACCACCTCTTCAAAATTCCATCACTTCTAACATTGCCACACTTGGGGCCAAACTTCTGGCACGCAAACCTCATCCAAACCACAGCAGGAAGTACAAAAGAGTCTCCATCGCCATGCTTCTGCGACTATCAATGCAGGGGGAAAGGAACAGTGCAAATCTTGCACGGTTTGTAAAGCTTCTTCCTGAAGCTTTGTGTGCCTCACTTCTGCTCATAATTCATTGGCAAGAGCAAATTAATAACTCTGCCTAAGTTCAAGGGGCCAGGAAGTACAACATCACCAACTGCATAGGAAGAAAACTGTAAATACTTGGTGAATAGCTGTCTTAGTTACTTTTTACTCATCGTTGAGACAAAATACCTGATCCCCAAAGCTGGGAAAGGAAAGGTTTATTCCTTACAGTTTTTGGAGGCTTCAGTTCAAGTTAGGGTAGCATGGCAGGGCCACAGTTCATGGCAGCTGCAAACAGCAAGGTGGAAACCTGCAAGAGGAAGAAACATACCTTCTTCCTGCCATTACATCACATCCTGGTTCCACCCCTAGGCCAGTGTAGCACTCACACCCCCAATCCAAGTGCTAGACAATGAACCAATCACAAATGCATAATGCAAAGGCATGAGGCTTAGGGGCCACTGACATAAACCATGACAATAGCTCTAATATCTATTGGGCTGAGGAAATTCTTTCACTAATTCATAAAGGATAATATATGAATATGCAGTTTCTCAGTGAGTCCAATAAACTTTTCCTCCAATATTGAAAAAATTATTACAAGGGAAGCAAAAGGAAAATACTGAAAGATCATTTTAGAGGAATAAAATGTGTGACCCTCAAAAGTAGAATCACCATCTGTGGTGAGATACTTATTGCAGAGAAAGGTGTGTGTCTAGAAATGCAAGAGCCATCCAGATAAAGAAAGGACATCCACTGTAGATGGTATGGACTGGGTGAATTATCTCTCCCATTTGTCTTACTGGAAAAAGAAGCAAATAAGTAATTGACATGCATAGAAAAGATATGTTACAATTCCTTTCAGTACAAATTTATTCAAATTGGTAAAAATGAGTGCTTTCTTTGAACAGACATTTCCTCTTTCACTTGGAACCAAGTCAGCATCACACGTTGAAAATATTATCAAAGTCTTAATTGTGGAAAATACACTCACAGTACATTTTCAAGCTGCCATTTTATTTTAAGGTAGCACAGAGCCATGAATTAGAGTTAATGTAAATTTCTTAACATTTAGTGTGGATACAGCTTGATTAAAATCAACTGCTCCTTCCAACAATGACACAGCCAGAGGGAAACTTGGCTTTGCTTGTCTGGAACTCTGACCCCTTTTTCCTGGATCAGAGGTGTTAAATGCAACCATTGTGAGGGCTGAGTAAATGTTGCTTTGTTACCGCTAGAAAAAGAAGGAGGAGGAAGAAGAAGAAAGAGAGAAACATGAAGAATAGGGCAAGTGAGAGAAAAGAAGCAATGGGATGAGTTACGACACAGGGTCCTAATCTTTGCTCCATGACTAAGAACGTTTGCAAATGTGACTCCAAGATTTTCTTACCGTAAGAAATGCTTGAGCTAATCAACTTATAAAAAGGAAATGTTTATTATTTTGACTCATAGTTCTGGTGATTTCCATCCCTGCTTAGATGGCCCATTGATTCTGAGCCTGTGGAGTGCCTCACATCATGGCTGGCAGTGGCTGGCAAAGCACAAAGCTACTCACCACCTGGCTGGATTGGGAAGAAAACAAAGAGGAGGCCAGGGCTTCCCAGTTCTTATCAAAAACGTAGTTAAATCTTCCTGCTATGCCTCACTCTTAGTTTCCACCACCTCTCAGGAACCCCAAGCTGAGGACTGGCTTTAACACATCGATCTTTGGACAACACTCCAGATCCAAACTAGAGCACTGACCAAGCCCTCTGTTGACATCATTTTCAAAACATAGAATTAGGAGTTTGGGTTGGATAATCTCTAAGCTTTTCAGCAATGAAATTTGAATCATCCCACCAGGTAAATTGTCATGACTCAGATATATTTTTATTTCTTGATCTTATCTTACATCTATAAAAGAATATATGAATCTAAATCTAAGCCATAATACCACGCAGGAATTGGCACACAGCATTCCTTCACCCTAATGCCCCTCTTTCATCCCATTCTTTTGCTCAATTTTGTGTTTATTACCCGCTCCTCCTTTTTGAAGAGTAATCCCATCCCACCCATATGTGTGCCTAAACAATCTTTGTATATTTCAACCTTTACTAAAGTTATGGCATTTATTTTTTTAATTATTGTACGTGTGTGTGTGTGTGTGTGTGTGTGTGTATGTGTGTGTGGTACCGTGAATCAAAATCAGGACCTTGCAGTTGCCAGGCAGGTACTGCACCATGGAGCCACATCCCCAGCTCCGGTTATGCTAGTTTTTGAATATGCTGCTTTTTTTACTTACCATTGTGTTTCTTAGTCTACCCAGGTTATTTCAAGTAGGTGTGGCTCAGTCATTTTCACTGGTCTATCAAAGTATGACAATATGTGGATATACCACATTTTGTCTGTTTATTTCCCTGCCAATGGACATCTGTCTCATTTCCAGTTGTTTTTCTATGTCAAGCAGAGTGGCCATGAACATTTTTGTCCATATTTTCTGTCTTTAGAACCTAGGAGACTTTGATTCATGTGCTCCTAGGTATAATTATAGTCATGAAAACAATAACAATTCTCATATTGTGACCACAGAGCTCCTACTTAGACTCTGTACCCTTTGTACGTGGCTGTACTTTCCTAATGCTGAACACAATATCTGATATCACAACTGAAAGGGGGATTCTTGTTTTAAGAGGATTCAATCCATGGTAAGTTGGCTCCAAGGTAGAAACATAATGGTGGATGGGTGTGGTGGAGCAAAATTGCTTAGTTTACGGCAGCCAGGAAGCAGAGCAACAAATGCTACAATGGAGAATTGGATGAAGAATCAGATACAGATCCCAGTCCCATATTTCCATGACCAAATCAGACATACCTAGACTTATGCTCCACTAATCCCCAAGGCTGAGCCCAAAACCAGTGAAGTTGACACTGTATCCAAGCCACCACAATGGGCTCCATATAAGCCAAAGTGTATACCACCCTTAACCCTAGTAGTCCATACACTACTGCCTGTTTTATGGAGTCTACCTCTCAAAGAGATCACTGCAGCAAGCAAAAACAATTCCAGGGGAGAATTCATGGTTAAAACTAAGGTTTTCTTGCCCCAGGTTCACATAATAAGGCCTTTGAGCACAGATCTGATAGTAGCTAAGCAGGGTGCATTTAGTCTTTGAGGTCTTCTTTCAGCAAGATGTGAGATCCAGTGAGTGAGCTCCACCCGACATCACAGGCTACTTGCTATGGTATGAACTGTCGTTTGACAGAGGTTGCAGAAAGACAACACACACACACACACAATCCCACTATCTGTTCTACAACTGCCAGTAATCCCTTTATCTATATCTCTATCTTAATCCATTTCAGGTTAGATAATGAAGTGTCATAGACAACTATCTTAAATTACACAAAATTTACTTCTCACAATTCTGGAAGCTGGAAATGTGAGATGAAGAAGTGTATTCAAGTTCTGGTGAGAATCCTGTACTGGGTCACAGCTGACAGTATTCTCTTGTGTCTTCATCCAGCAGACAAATGGAGAGGGAGATTTCTGATGAGCTTTTACAAGGACATTACATTCATTTATGAGGTTTTATTCTCATGGCTTAATCAACTACCTCTTAATGGCATCAGCTTAGAAGTTAAGATTTCCCTATATGCATGTTAAGATATATCACAAACATCCAGTTCATTGGAACCTTCTGGGCCCCACAAAAGGGGACTGTGGGGACATAAATGGCAGTATCACCAAAGAGGATGTGCTGTGTGGCTGCCACCTAAGGCAAGAGCCTTGTGGGTACCTCCTCAACAGGAAATCAGGGCTCTGTACATCAAAGGAATACAGGTAAGAGGAGGTTCAGGCACCTCCAAGGAAGCTTTCATGAGTGTTTTTCCCCCTTGTCAGCCCAGACAGGAAGGCGGGGGTGGAGGTGCTGCCCGCACAGTTGACGTGGGTAATGCAAGAATAGAAGACCGTGGAGTCCCTGGCAAAAACACAAATGTTTCTAGCTTAACACTTTGCCTGGTACTTTTCTAAGTTTAGTTAATTCATTCACTGGGGTAGAGAGGGACATATTTAGTTCCCCTGTTGTTGGAAAACCTGAACCACAATCAGGAGTGCTGATTGAGCCCCCTCAGCTTATCCAAGAAGAGTATAAAAAGAATAAGCCCATCCAATATAAATACTGTTTTACTTTCAAAAACTGAAAAGCATGGCCTTTAAATTCCGATGAATTCCATGAAGCAGATGAATAAAAATGTTATTCCACTATTTCCCCCTCGCGCCTACTGAGTCAGATGGAATATGTGAGACCTCAAACTCTTTGTCTGTTATTTAGGGTAATCAGATTATAGCCATCCACTCATTGTCTGGAAAAACAGCAGCCTCCAGTTG